AGTTGAATTTTGTTACTGGTCAGTTTCTTCGATTAGAACTAAATTTTTTAAGCGCATTCAACCCGATGCTTTAAATATTACTTGTCTTAAGATGACAGCTCACTGTGAAGCAAAACCACTATTATTGTCGGTTAGGTTCTCACCATTAATACTGCCTCCATATTACTTTACTATTTTCTAATAACTGCAGCAATAATAACAAGTATTCCTTCCTTTTTATCACAACTGTTTTGAACTACTTTTACTACTGTTTTTATTTTCGTTATTATGCGTTTTTGCTTGTATGCAAATTGCAAAAGCGCATATTACAACGACCCTGTCTGTGTGATTGTGTGTGTGTGTGTGTGTTCGTCTGTCCGGGTATTTTAACTCGGCAACCAAGCAAGCTCCGGCTCCAAAATTTTGCTAGTTGGTTCCCCGGCCATGTGCCATTCCAGAATCAGGGTACCAGTCCCTACGCAAGTCTGGTTTGGCGGGAAAATTACCAACTCGGGAACGGGAAAAGCCAGAAAGCTGAAATTTTGAGATTATGCCCCCGTCCAAATAAAACTGGAAGATTTCAAATTCGGCCACCGGGTTTGCGTGGTTAGCGCGTACAGCCCCGTGGGAATTCCTAATGCGAAAATCGCTAACTTGGGAAGAAGGAGGGCTAAAATTTTCGGGGAATATTCCCAGCATAAATACAACATAAGCCTATCGAATTCAGCTCCCAGGCATGTGTGGCTCTCACATACGAGCCCATGGAGATTTTTGGCGGGAAAATGGCTACCTCGGGAACCAGGAAAGTTGGTAGGCTGAAATTTTAAAGGGATGCTCCCAGCCTACATATAACTTAGAGATTCCAAGCCTAGCCCCCGGGTATGCTCCCAGGTCACGTGCAGCCCAGAGAAAATTTTGGCAGGGGAACTGCTAACCCGGGAACTAGAAAAGCTGGAAAGCTGAGATTTTTGGAGAATATTCCCCGTCCAAATGCAATTTAAGGCTTTCAAATTCAGCCTTCGTGTACACGTGGTTCTCTTGTGCGGGTACTTAAATTTTTGGCGGGGAAGTCACTCATTGAACAGCTGAGTCATTTTCAAAAACGACCGTTAAGTGGAAATTATTTCTTTTTATGCAAAATTTACGATGGTTTGCGATATTGGGCGCACAAGGTAGGTGTGAAGAAACAACCGTTCATGCTGTTAACCTAATTACTTCAAGTTTGGTGCAAAAACGCATGATCGCACCGGCCCGCCTGGTGCGCCCCAGCCTGAGTTTTCATTATTGTAATCATAATTATCGCAATAACTATTACAGCAAGAAATTATCAGAAGAAGCTGACTAATGGTTGAGCATTTTTTTTCGAAAACCAATTTTATATCCAAACTGAGCTCTAAAAAACCATTACCGTTCTGAACGGAAGCAGTTAGAACTGAATGACAACGGCAACTCCGTCTGGTTTAAGCTTGTAGATTTAGAACGCACCGGACATGTGGCTACATTTTCTTAAAATTAAGGGCTGCACAGGAAGAGTTCAAATTGTTTGGTTTCTCGTCATGCTTATGTCAGAAATTGAAAGCTTAAATATTGCAGGATGGCCTGGTGGCCAAGATTCCGTCAAAATATTTGAAACAGAACAACGAATTAGAGAATTTCAATCATTTCGATTTCATTTGGGGAACTCATGCAGCTGACCAGATTTACAGGCCCATCGCTCGGATCATCCAGGAAGATCAAACAGCCACATTTCCTTGTCAGCAAAGATATCGCTAATCTTGAAACATATTCGGCCGACCGACGCAGTTATTAGATGTTTTAAAAATCAGCTGGGAGCGAAATTTGGGGCACAAGCACAGAGAGATAAACTGATGAGCAAGAAGTTTTTCAGGAAAAATCTGTTATACATGTTCTTTTCCAAACACTAGAATGACTCGAAACAGTAAAATACCATGAAAAATGTTCATTGGAATCTTCTGCTTGCAGCTGAAAGTCTCCAGTTCAAAAAAAGCTGCAGGGGACTAATTCTGAGAAAGTTGGTCACAGCAAAAAATTTACTGGCCTTTCGAGCACGGCTGACCAGTTGGTCAGTTGTGCCCAAAGGACCAAAAATTCTGACCATTCTCATGCGTTTTTGCATATATGCAAATTGCAAAAACGCATATTGGCAAGAGGTTGTCTGTGTGTGTCTGCGTGTTCGCACTTTTTGTCACCCTCTTTCAACTCAAGAACCAGGAAAGGTAAAAGGCTGATGGAGCTATGTGCCCACATCATGCGCGACCTTCCCTTTTTATGTGTTTTTGCTGTCAGCGCTATAGCTGCTACAGCCAGCAACAACACATATCATCGAGAGGCTTTCTGTGTGTTTGTGTTCAGAAGCGAGTGCATTTTGCCACCCACTTTCGTCTCAGCAACCAGGAAAGCTGGGAGGCTGAAACTGCGGATATATGTTCCTACTCCTTGTACCATCCTCTCGTTTCAAGATATTCCCCACACGCGCCTACACCTCGTGTACGGGTCTCCCAAAAAAATATGCAAATTTCGTTGGCGGGAAACAGTTTCGGTATTGATTTCGCGAACCAGGCAAGTTAGAAAGCTGAAAACTGTGCAGAGATAATCTATATGCACGTGCGAGCTAAAGATTTTAAAATCAACGTCGAGCACGCTTGTGAAGCGCGTACGATCACGTCAAACTTGCAACTTGGGCACTATGCTAACTCGAAAACTTGCCGGAAAACAGTGGCTGAAATTTCGTCAGGATGTTTGTCCCCAAATAGGAAATGGTATACCCAAAATGAATACCGTATTTGCACTTGCGCCACGATTTAGGACACTTCAAATATATTTGTAGCGAAGTGGATATTTCGCTTGTCGGATGAGCTGTGAGGCTGAAAATTCGCTGGAATATTCTATCCTCAAGTACAGTCTTAATTCTGCTTAGAAATAGAATTTCCTGCAGGTAGGCATGAGAAATACTCAACTTTACCGAAAAATCAGAAACGAGTGCGTTTTGCAGCGGACGACCGCACTCATCCAAACTTGTAAATGAAAATTAGTTAATTTATATACTTAAAGTTTTTCACAAATGACCGCTGGAGCAATACTTCCACTTTTTAGTGAACTGGAAGTTTGCATTTTTTCAAAAAATTTGCATTTTCATTTTTTCAGAAAGCTAGCATTTCCTAAAAACGACCGAGCTTCATGCAAAAATCTGGTAATCATGTACCTGCAGGTCCATG